TACAATCTGTGCCGCTGAGGGTGGGCTTGACGCATGACCTATTCTGTCACTCGGTCAGCTATTCTGTGTCTGGGGTAACAGAGGGCATTGTTGGAATAAATGCTACTCTCTCCTCAGCCCTCTCCCATATCCTCTATTCTCACAAAGTGGATTAGTCACACCAAGACTGGTCTACGTCTGTGAGGAGCATCTTTCTCAAAAGGCACTCCTCCTCTCCAGGCCTCGAGAACCAAAGGGAGCCAGAGAGCAGGTATGTTCCCGGTTTCTGTGCTTAGACCTTAGCCTCCACCCTTAAGGCCACCTACCCCTCCCAGATTGTGATGCCACAAACACGCCAAATCCTTTTAGCCACAGCCATCCCAGAGGAGTTCTAACCTAGCTATGAAAAAAGGGCATCTTTTGAGCCCAAACCTCTACTTGGAAAATTTCCTGCTCACGTATTTCCACGGACATCAACTTACAGGTGAATGTATGGGCAGAGATTTTCATATCAGGTTTTCTGTGTAAACCATTAAGCTCTTGGGCACTTATTTGACACAAAGAATGGGGTAAAAATCCTCAATTGACATTTCCTGGTAGTTGAGTTTTCACGTTTGGAAAAAGATGCACAGACCACGAATGAATCTTCTAAACTGTATTTGGAACTGACAAAAACATCTGGAACTGACAAAAAATCTTCCTAGAGACAAGGCCCTCAGCAGAGTCTGGCCCCACCATAAAACTTTGCATCAACTGTACAGAACAAAATTAGCAACGAGTGATCTTTGGCACTAGAAATGGGTAACTCCTTAGCTGTTCATACAATATCCAAACTGCACATCACATGACATTAAATTGCTGGTTAACAGTTGAATTTTACATTTAAATTATCTTAAAAGGTTGGAAGTCCTAGCTGAGATTTTTGGTATCAATATGCTATAATCATATCTAACACTTAGTGCCTGAGGTAGAGACTTCTGTAAGAGGAGATTTATTGAAGAGAACACAATAGAGAGTACAGAAAAGAAAACCACTTCCAATCTTGGAATCATACAGCCAAATGTCTTTGCTGGTTCAGCAAGCCAACCCTGAAATGCAGAGCTCTTACTTCTTTTATTTCTGTAGAGATTTTGCATGGGAGTAGGGCTTTCTTTTGTTTGGAATCCTGAATTTTGGAATACATGGATTGCTTCTTTCAAAAGTATGATTATTAACATGGAATGTGCATGAACCAAACTCACTTAACATCATCATTAAAAACAAAAAAAACAACACAACTGCACATTAGGGACAACAAATAAAATCTTTTAAACTCTCCAGGACATGTGGGCAGAATGAGTGACAAGTACGCAAGTCAACCTAATGACTCTAACCTTTGATGGTAACTGTATTACTACAGATTTACGATCTATAGGTGAGTTGAAATTTTATTTCCAAACTCTGCACTGTATAGGTGCAGGGGCTTTATTTTCAGGTGGTAAGACTCTTCGTGAAATTACATGATTTTATAAAGATAAAATTAATCTAACAACTGGAACCTTCCAATCAAAATGACCAGCAGCTGTGTATCTCTGACTTCAGGTACTTTTCTTCACAGTTGGGAAAGACCTTTCCTGTATAAAAAGGCATTTGTGAAGGAGGTTCAAGTATAAGATACTTGCCTTTTATAAAAAACTGGCTGGCCAAAAATTTATCCTAAACTATAGGTATGATTATTAGCAGTGTACTGTCTCTTAAATGAGACAGAAAACGTAAAGCCTAGACGTTTATAAACTAACGGGTAAAGCATAGGTATGACTAATAGGAATAACATTTCAGTCCATTCTTGGTATAAACTGCTTAGAGCAAGTTAAGGGTTTTAAACAATCACTGATTCCTGTGATAAAGAGCACTGAAGGACTTCTTACTACATCACATAGTTCTTTCACCTATTTTTTTTTTTTTGAAGCTCCAAGGTCAGACAAATGACCGATAATAATAGTTGGTTTTTTAATACTTTTTACCAGACGCTTCTTCTAACTATTTCATAACACTTCTGAGAGGTAAGTGGCTCCTGGAACTTGGAAAAGTAAAGTGAACTGCCTAGTCTCATACCATGAAGAAATGACAGTTAAGGTAACTAATGATGACGTTTTTCTTTTCAAAGATATAGGTGTCCTTCTAAAAGACAGATTATGTGGGAGTCCTAATCTGTGAGAACCATTTTAGATGGGAAAGCTCCTTTTTATCAAAAGTCTATAGAGGTCAGTCAAGGAAAATCCCCAGACAAACTGACTTCAATGAAGGAACACGCTTGTGGTTTTAAATGAACAAATATAGAAACAGGCAAAACTAAGGCATAAAGCAAAGAGGAAGCCATAAAATGAACAGTAACATTTCTTTAGGGGAAAATGTTATATAATTCTTCCCTCAAATTTGAACTAAGAAAAAAAAGCCTATTTGTTTTACAAATCTCTTCTGAATAATAGACTGTAACAAAGATGAACAAAGGACACACCACATCTGAATAAATCCAACTGTATGTTAAGGAATATAACATGTTGACCATATCCTGATTGTAGTCTGTGAAGGACTAAGCACTCAACTTCTATTTAGAGAAGCAAATGTCATACAACAGAGCATGTCTTTTTTTGCGGTACGCGGGCCTCTCACTGTTGTGGCCTCTCCCGTTTCGGAGCACAGGCTCCGGACGCGCAGGCTCAGCGGCCGTGGCTCACGGGCCCAGCCGCTCCGCGGCATGTGGGATCTCCCCGGACCGGGGGGCACGAACCCGTGTCCCCTGCATCGGCAGGAGGACTCTCAACCACTGCGCCACCAGGGAAGCCCTACAAAGCATGTCTTATACAGCAATTCAAAGGAATGATTTTGATAGGGGGAAAAAAAACACCTGCTGACAGGTGTTTTATACAAATACCTGCAAGTTCCAGAACAGTAACTGGAACAATATTTTTATGGACTCAGTGTAGACCCAATTGATGGGTTAACAAGCCAGACACTGATAGGGCCGTTTTCTTAATGTAGGTCCATGACATGTTGTTAGGGGAGAATGGCCTTGGCAAACTCATATGCTCAAAGGCTGAAAGAAATGGACTAAGAAAGCAGTGAGAGTTGGGAAATCTATGTCATAATTAGAACTTTAGTGAGAGAATAAAAATAGACTTTAACACATGTGAAGTGACCCAGAATATCTTTCTATGTACTTGAGGAAGTTGAAGAATTATCCAGACACAAAAGATAACATTCTCATCAGAACAAGCCCAGATGAAACACCAGGGGCCCTGTTTGTAGAAACTAAGTGGATGCTTCTGGCGCCCAATGTCTGCCTGGCATTTCTGTTTGACTCCTTCCCTCTCTCTCACTCAGATCCCCAACCCTCCATTGGCAAAGCCACTCTGTTCTCCTTCAGGCTCTGAATAGATGGATGTGAATGTATGTGTATTTTTTCTGTCCTTCAATTAAGAAATACACATGAAGTTCTACTGACATAAGAATTATTCGTAGCTCTTTATCTTAGCTGGCCTGAAGTATTTAAAATCTTCCCTGTTTTAGAATAATTATTTGAAATCCCTTATTAAACACTTGGTTTCAAGGAAACTGTGCAGGTCTATTAATAATCAAGGATCCATACATGTATAAATCATTTTCTGAAATTTCCCCTTCAGTCTCACTGGAGTTTACCTTTTGCTTAAGTGTTTAGAGATCCTGAAGAACTTCTCTAGGCTAAAATTTACAGACTAAAAAAAGCAAAATAAAGGTAAATGCACGGTTAGAAGATAAGCTTAAATTTTCAACTGAGTGTCTTTTGCGGGGGGTGGAGGTGAGGGAGAAATGCAATGGACAACAACAAAGGAAAAAAGAACTGCATACAGGACGCTGTTCTAAGAATAGAGAACTGACATTTAAAAATTAAGTCAAAAAAAATAGCACTCTTGGAATTTCAAAGTTGGAGGTGGCTTGCAATAACTTTCTGTTAGAAGAGAGTGAGATACCCAGAATGAAAGCTCCCTGGTGAAGCAAACACCACTTCCTTTAAATCTTTACCAAGCTCTACTCAGAAGCTCGTAAACTGTAAGACAAATGATGTGAACATGACAGGAGAGCAAAGTTCTCCAACGTTAGAGAAGGTTGAAAATGGCAGTAAAATACTACTGCAAATTACGAGCGTTATGTGAACATTAATGCTTGTCATTAACAAATAGATATGCCTACAGCAAATAAATACTGAAATTCTCTTTCGGTCTATTTACAGATAGAATCCCAGGTCTGACTGGTCTTCCAGGCAGAAACCTACATTGGCAGAAATATGTAAATTATAAAAGTTCCATGGTGAATTATAAAAAATAAGGAATTTGAATTTAGGCCTTCTGCCATATGCAGTTTAAGGTAGCTTTGATTAATTTTTAGCCTAGAAGGGAATTTTCGTATTTTTACTGTTACCATATAAAAAAAATATCCATCACTGGCTTCTTAAGAAACCAGAGAGGCAGGTTTTTGGATACAGATTTAAGGCAAATCAAACAGGGCTAAACATCTTATCAGGGCTTATTTTCCAGGTGTGCCTTTGTTCTGTGACAGAGGGATCTTAGAACAGTTCTAGCCAGGGTCTCCACACTGCTATTGGATGAGGACACCTTTGTGCATCAGCCTTTTGAAAGAACTGACATTATATACACACCATCAAAGCATATACTGGCAAGGCTTGATACTGAAAGGACTTCTGCAGTGAATCACTTTATCTACTTTGAAAACACAAATAGGTTTTCAAAGACTAGATACAACTCTGGACACATGAATGAGATTCAAAGATTTCTCAAGTCAAAGAGAGATCTCAACCTCCCTGTACTATGGACTTTCTTTCCAAGACTGAGAACAGATTCATCCTCCTCCGGCTCCTTACATATCTGAAATCTTCCCTGCAACACGAGAGGCACTTTTATTAGGTATGTAGCATCTATTAAAACTTTAAATCCAGGGTGGAATTTGCTGAACAAAGTAATAACACTAGCCTAATAGGCATTACCTTAAGGATTATTTCCCCTTTAATATAAAAGTATAACTACAGTGGTCCAATATACAAATACAAAAAAACGTTCTCATACGAAAAAAAAAAAAGTACCATAATACTGTACATACAAAAACTGTTCAACAAGAATGATTTAAATATATCTGTTCTTTTCCAGGTCTGGAAGACACAAATGTAAAGTTCTGCAACTGTATTATTGCTGGAACATGTGTCCAGGAACACTGTGTTTCCCGTTCTTTCCCCCTGTCCCAGCCCCCACTTCAGAGTCCCCTGAGCTTGGATCATGAGCCAACAGCATCCCTGAAAATAACCAGAGCCAAATGTTTACTCAATGGAAGTCATTATTCAGTGAGCCGCTGCTTACCATGAACTATGAAAAGCACAAGTTTTAAGCCCAGCCAAGATTAAATCCAGACGGAGGTCTTCCCATCCCCCGATTTGCTACTAGCACTGCTTTTGTTGGACCCAGCCTTGGACCCCACTTTGGCTTTTTTCTCCCGGGGACCATGGGGGTTGTTTTGGTGACTGTAGGCCTGGATTGCCAGATCCAGGCGTTCCTGAGCCATTTTGATTTCCCTCTGCAGAGTCTCCAGGTCAGCTGGGAGGTTGTCCTCATGGCTGCCATACTGTTGCTCCTGGGCGATGTTGGCCTTGTTTTGCTTGTAGGCAATCTTAGCGTTGGACAGTTCGGTGTACTGGATTTGATCTGGTTTGACGGCAATGTTATAGCCAGGGGGAGCAGATGGTGTGTTCCAAGTGAAAGGATAATTATAAGCACCCGGATCTTCCAGTTCCCTCCTTTTACTGTTTAGTGAGTCTCGAATTGTCCCAAATCCTAAATGAAGCATCTCCCAAACGTTAAGCAACAGGCAAAGGCCTGTGACACCATACATTATCAGAAGAAAGATGGTCTTTTCAGTGGGTCTGGAAATGAAGCAGTCTATCTTATGAGGGCAAGGAAGTCTGCTGCACACATAAAATGGGTGGACTTGGAAGCCATACAGAAAGTACTGCCCTATCAGAAAGCCCACCTCAAACACGGTCCTTGCCAGCAGCTGCAGCACATAGATTTTCATGAGCCCATCCTCCTGAATCCGGTGTCGGCCATCATGCTTAGGTTTAGATTGGCTCTGATCTTTATTTTCTTTTTCACTTTCTAATTCCATTTCTGGATACATCATGGGATCCTCTTCATGGTCCTCTTCTGTTTCTTCCAGAGCCCGGTGCTGTTTCCAACGCATTGCATAGGGTTTGCTCCGAGCGGCCTTCTTGTCTGCGTCACCGTGCTCCATTTTGGCAATCTTATGAATGGCATAGCCCAGGTACATCACTGAGGGGGTGGCCACCAGGATGATCTGGAACACCCAGAAGCGCACGTGGGAGAGGGGTGCAAAGGCATCATAGCAGACGTTCTCGCAGCCTGGCTGCTCTGTGTTGCACACAAACTTGCTTTGCTCGTCGTAATAGATGGACTCTCCTCCTACAGCTGTAAGGACAATCCGGAAGACGATCAATACAGTGAGCCAGATCTTCCCCACAAACGTGGAGTGGTTGTGGATCTCCTCTAGCAGGCGAGTGAGGAAGCTCCAGCTCATGGTGACTGAACTGGTTCGCCCTGATAAAAATGAAAAATACCAAAGGAAAATCAGCAAATATTAAACTCTTCATTTTTTCATGGATGATATCTCTAGGAACCACTTCTCTACATACCTGAAATTTATCTTCAAGGCTCATAACAGAATGACTGTTAGAATAAATAGCATCTCACTCTCCATACTACCATCAGGTAGGACCATTCACCTCAGTCTAAGAGCACTGGTTTGGGCCTACAGGGTCCTAGGAAGTCTGATTAGTTTTCGTGTCTTCCTTAGCTTAAAAGGTAAAATTACAGCTATCATTTGAGATATATTTCTCAAAGTATACTGGATTTTTTTTTTTTTTTTGCGGTACGCGGGCCTCTCACGGTTGCGGCCTCTCCCGCTGCGGAGCACAGGCTCCGGACGCGCAGGCTCAGCGGCCATGGCTCACGGGCCCAGCCGCTCCGCGGCATGTGGGATCCTCCCGGACCGGGGCACGAACCCGTGTCCCCTGCATCGGCAGGCGGACTCTCAACCACTGCGCCACCAGGGAAGCCCTATACTGGATTTTTTTACATACAGTATTATTTCATAAGACCTTCGAACTTTGTGGAATATAGATAAGAAAATAGCACAGAAGGATGGCTATTCGGTCACAGTAAGACTGCCACTGAGAACATAATGGGGACACCTGGGCTGGATGGACTCCATTGTGAAGAGGTACCTTATCAGGAAAGTTAAATTTTGGACCTGGTGACAAAGTATTAAAAAAAGAATTAAGGAGATAGTACAGCTGCAAATAACTGGCAAAGATCAAGAACTAAAATAAAAGACAGAAAGAAACAAGGAAGACACTCCTGAGCTACGCTGCATCACAGAGATTCTAGCATTCTGTATTATAGTTCTGTATTTTGTTTATGGTAGAAGTTAAAAAATGCCTGTAGATTGAATTGTGAGGACATTAAAAATCCAATCAGTAGACAAATCCACTTAAAACAGCATTTTGAAGGATAGTTTTATTCTGAGATTCTTAGATCTATGCCCAGAATCCAGGTAGAAACCATCAAATGACATAATGTATGTAAAATCCCTAATACAACCCCTGCCACATAGTACACCTAGCTTTTCTCTTCTATCTTCCCTCTCTTGGTTTACTTCTGCAGATAATAGTTGATTACCAGCATCACCAAAGAAATTTAAATATACTTTTTACCTGTTATCCAGAATTTCTGCTATCCAAAATTTTCTAAGAGAAATGATGTTTTGCTTACAAGTTTTCCAGATTCCCTCTGGAAGGGAAAAAGAAAAGAGAAGGTCATAAGTTTCCTCCCACAGAAAAAAATAAATCACTAGAACGCCATTTTCAGGGAGAAACAGTTTTCTATGTACCATAGGAATCAATCAGCATGAGGTGGAAACAGGCTTGAGTTTGAATATCACTGTTCTCTCCTCCTATATGTGGTAGGAGAAACTACCTAACAGTGACTCGAAGAGTCTTAGGTCACTGTAGTCTAAGAAAATATGACAGGAAGATGAGTCACTGGTGAAAATCTGAAGCAGATGAACCCTGGCACCTATAGGAAAAAGCCAAAGTAGAAAATTTCACCAAATTTAAACTGGGTCACTAAAGGCCTTGCAAAAATCTTCACCCTGTGTGCTCTATTCCTGTTCTGTTCTCTGGAGCAGCCAATACCTCTCTCAATGGGATCTGAGCAGCCAACTAGGAGCAAGCTGTTTAGTTAAAACACCCAACAGCTGGCTCTCAGTCATTGGGACACCCACATCCACAGAAGGTGATTTACAGACTCAACTGCTCACAGAAGGAAAACACCTGCATCTGTATTGTGATTAAAAATATATATATACAGGACGAATTATTGCTCATTATCAAGTTCTGCAAACTATGGAATAGCTATGGCCAAGAATCATCCGCACTTACTATCATTTAATTTAATAAATGAATGTAAAGCAATCCCTGAGTGTTCCAAGTTATTATGTGTTCAAAATAACTTAATAAAAAAGATACATGAAAAAAAACCCAGAACAATTCCCAAAAGGTCAATGAAGAAGAAAAAAAGTTCAGGCATCTGCACAACATGCAAGTACGAAGATTCACATACAGAATTCAACCACGCAAAGATCTCACCATAGGACTTCAAGTACAACTCTTATTTCCAGCCCTGATGTCCAACTGAGCTCACCACTTCTCTCACTGCATACACAAGTTATAAAACCACACAAGAAGTAAATAATATGTAGTCTTTAAATGGTGATGTAAGCCAGATTTCCAACACAGAACTCAATAATGATTCACGTCCACAAGTCCAGATTCACATTTTCCCCAAACGCCATATCTAAAGCATTTCCCTTAAAGCCTGAAATTCTACTTGTTCCAATAAGCCAAAGTCCTGAAAGTGCAATTGTTAATTAGTAAGGAAGCTCATCCTCTACACTGCCGTCCATACCGAAAACAAACGGGCACCTTTTAAATAATTTTTGCTATGAAATAATTTCTCAACAGTTCAGCACCTAATACAATAACCTTTTTTTTGGGGGGGGCGGAAATTAGTGACAAACCCTTCAAAGCTTATAAGTTATAAAGCAGCCACTTAAACACATCCAGAAATACACACTGCATACTGGTTAAGCTGTAGGCCTAGACAATGATGAACACTTAGAGCCTGGTTTTCCGTGGGTACTTATAAGTGCCATAGCACCCTATACCTGAACCTTGAGTATAAATGATGTGTAAAGTAATGTAGCTTCAGCATCTCATAAAATGGGTGATGGGTGATTTTCTTTCTAAAATAACCATGGGCTTCCTAATCAAATGGCAGCATCACCACTGTGGATCTACTGAGCTGTCAGTAGGTTTTTCTTTGATACTCTTCCCTTTCCAAATCCCTTTCTTCTCCTTGTAAGCATTAAGAGAAAGGCTTAAGTATCAGAGTAGACTCCTTCAATTTGGGGCGTGGGGTGGAAAGGGGAAGAGGGAGGGAGGGTGTGAGAGAGGAGAAAAAACTGAATGAGTAGAATGGTGGGTTCCGGAATTGACATTTCTAAGCAAAAACGTGTCACTGCCAAGTGTGGTCTTGCTGTGTTCTTGCTCCACTAAAATTCCCTTTTCTCAGAAACATTTTTTCGCTCTCCTACCAGAAGCCTAAGATTCAGAACACAGTCTTCTCTGACTTCCCTGTTTCAGCAAACAGACTTGGTTATAGAGTAGGGAGTGAGAGCATGCAATTAACCTGTGAACAGCTCTCGTGAAAAAATAAAAATCACCTCCATACTCTCTGAATGGAAAATATGGGAGCATGTGATGAGTGGTGGTGAGAGGTAGGGGAATGCCAAACACCCAAATATTTTTTGCCAATCAGGAAAGCCAACTGATTTAGTATTTTGACACTTAATGTCTTCTTGAATATATCCTTTATATTTTGGTTGAATTTATCTATAGACAGATTCTAGGAAGTGCTATTATCAGGACACAAGAAATGTAAGTCTGCATGGTTTTTGCTCTGTACTGTCATTTGACTTTCTAAAAAGGTCTTAGCAGTTTACAATGCCTGGCAACGAATTAGTACAATTTTACCTCAACCTCATCAGCACTGTCTGTTATGCTACTTTGCTAGGTGTAAAATGGTATTTCAAAATTATGTCGATTTGTATGTTTTTAATACAGCAGGATACCCTTCCCCTATATTCCTCCTTCTTTGTGAACTATTTCTATCCTTTTGCCCATTTACTGCAGAAGGTATTCTTAATACAGTACAGACATCAATCATTTGACATTTAATAGGATTCTCAATTCTCTCTCCACCCCCCCCCACACATACTGAAGAAAATCATGTTTGCTTTTATAACATTTACTGGACAGAAATCAAATGTGCTATTTTTAGTCTGTTTTCCAAATAACTTTCAAATCTACCTTGTCTTACACTAGAAAATAGAATTTTAAAAATTACTTGGTATCAACACGGTAATAAATTAAGTAATCCCCTCCCAAATTATTTATATTTGAAGAGTTTTCTATCAGCTACATCCTAACAGGATCAAGTCAAAGTTTACCTCATGTCTTAAACTCAGGATCTTTGAAGATTAAATATAAAAGCTCATTATTTGGATTATCTCTGGAGGTGGATTATATGATTAGATCTATTTTAAAGATGAAGAAATGAGGTCCAGAAAGTTTATAAAATTTGCCCAAGATCATCCAGGTATTAAGAGGTGAAACTAGAATCTGAAGTCAGCCAGTCTTGCTCCAGTCTCAGCTTTTAACTACTAGTAAAGAATTACATTCCAGATGAGGTGGAACTATGTACAGGCCCCATGTGAATACAGAGGAGGGCACCTCACACCAATCTTTGGAATCGGAATTAAACTAAATAATAAACTCACAAAGATTAAAGGTGGGGGGTTAGTTCTGCTGCCAAAAGAAATTGGAAAAAAAAAAATCAAAGGGGGAAATTTCAGGGTTTAAGATCTTACACATAGAATGAATTGAAAGTTAAAACAAAACAAAACCCCCCAAAACAAACAACAACAAAACATAAAACCCAAAAAGAACTCCAAGTTTGTTTCTTGGCAGTTGGAAGGGAAAAATAAACTAGGAAAATGGTATCTTCAACAAAAATGTTTTTTTTTTTCACTAAGGAGGATAACTTCTTTGGGCATTGAGAAAAGTGACAGAGAAGGTGGTAAATTTAGTTCAGGGGTGAAAATGCTTGTAAAAGGGTAGATACAAAGATGGTATACATATGAAGTGCTCAGAGCTGTGCCTGGTCTCAAGGCAAGCACCCTTATTACCATTACTACCAGTGTTGCTGCAACTTTTTGTCTTACCACCTCAACTGTACTGGGAGCCCCTAGATGTTAGACACATCTTTTATCTCTGCTTCCCTAGCATCTAGCCCGATGACTGGCCATTTTTTAAAAAAATTAATTACCTTATTTATTTATTTTTGGCTGCGTTGGGTCTTTATTGCTGCACGCAGGCTTTCTCTAGTTGCCGTGAGCCGGGGCTACTCTTCTTCGCGGTGCACGGGCTTCTCATTGTGGTGGCTTCTCTAGTTGCGGAGCACAGGCTCTAGGCGCACGGGCTTCAGTAGTTGTGGCACGTGGGCTCAGTAGTTGTGGCTCACGGGCTCTAGAGCGCAAGCTCAGTAGTTGTGGTTCACGGGCTTAGTTGCTCCGCGGCATGTGGGATCTTCTCGGACCAGGGCTTGAACCCGAGTCCCCTGCATTGGCAGGCGGATTCTTAACCACTGTGCCACCAGAGAAGTCCCTGATTGGCCATTTTTAAGTGCTAAATAAACATTTGACAAATGAATAAATGCATTCCTATCGGATTTGCCTTACATTTTTCACTGCAATCTCTTCTCTCTCTATATATATTTTTTCCTCCTAGATTCCACTGCATCAGCCTGTCCAAAAATGGAATAAGCAGCGAACCCTGGTATAAATGCAGCAGGGAGGGTAAAGGGATATAAAGGGAGGTGTCTGTACTTCACTGAAATCTATAAAATGTGACACCAATGATGGCAATATATTATGTACGTACAGTGTAATACCTAAAACAACCACTAAAAAAGCACACAGAGGGACTTCCCTGGTGGTGCAGTGGTTAAGAATCAGCCTGCCAACGCAGGGGATATGGGTTCGAGCCCTAGTTGGGGAAGACCCCACATGCCACAGAGCAACTAAGCCCATGCACCACGACTACTGAGCCTGCGCTCTAGAGCCCACGAGCCACAACTACTGAAGCCTGCGTGCCTAGAGCCTGTGCCGTGCAACGAGAAGCCACCGTACCACAACGAAGAGTAGCCCCTGCTCGCCACAACTACAGAAAGCCCGCGTGCAGCAAAGAAGACCCAATGCAGCCAAAAATAAATAAATAAATTTTAAAAAAGAAAAGAAAAGAAAAGAAAAATGAATGACCATACCTAGTGTTGGTGAGGATGTGGAGAAACTGGTACTCTCATACAAGTAGGACTGTAAAATAGTATAATCACTTTGGAAAATAGTCTGGCAGTTTCTTAGAAGTTAAACATATACCAAGTATATGATCCAGCCATTCTGCTCCTAGGCAAGAATTAAAACCGTATGTCTATAAAATGACTTGCACATAAATGTTCACAACAATTTTATCTGTAATAGCCAGAACCTGGAAACAACACAAATGCCCATCAGCAGGTTGATGAGTAAACAAATTTTGGTACACTCATACAGTGGTATACTACTCAGCAATAAACTATTGATATGCATAGCATGGATGAATCTCAAAATAATT